CTTTTAGTCTTTCGGATTCTCTTTCCATTTCTTTTCTTCTTCCTCCTCTTCCTCCCCCTCCCCCTCCTTCTCCTCCTTTGTTCTTCTCCTTCCCCTTCCCCTTCATTTCTTGTTGAAGAAACCAAGCCATTCGTCCTGGAGAAGTTTCCATAGTTTAGATTTTGCTGATTATCTCCCAGATGTGCCATTTCATGTATTCATCAACCCCTTATTTCCTGTAAGTTGGTAGCTGGAGCTAAAGGCAGGCCAGAACTCAGATTCAGTGCTTTGTCAAGAATCTTTGGGGCAGTGATGTGTTCCCCCATCAGGAAACACAGAGGAGGCAATGTGGCTCGTGTGGTGTTGGCCTGATCCACTAGTTCACTAGGGGTTGTAAAGGGTGGCGCTCTAATTCTCTCTTTTTATGTATTAGCTGGAATACGTGTTGTCTATTTACTTAAGTTTGGTGCCCCCAGGTATTTCCCAAAAGACTGAAGATGCCTTGTATATTAAAAGAATAGAAAATAAGACATTCTGAGATAGAACTCAGTTGGAATCATCAATGGAAGCGATCAGATATAGTTTCACCAATTCTGTGACTTTCTTGGTTGAATTTCCTGTGCTCCAGATGTCGTGTGAAACATCTCGATTTGAATGCTATGAAAAGGCACAGATGCCGTGTGGTCAAGCAGAATGTAAAGAGATGGGCAGTTTTCAGGAGTTAACTAGAGACATGAAATCTGTACATTTCTCCTGTGTGAAGAATACAGAAAAGCTGTCTACGCTGCTAGGCACAATTATCCTTAACATTGCCACCTCGGCTTAAAACATACACGTACCCTGTGCCAAGCAGACTGCGAGGTGGAAGAACACCTCTCAGTCTCTAACTGTGAAGCACTTCTTGTCCCTGTGATAAGACCTTGGAGTCACACTCACGAGCGCATTCCTGTCGCAGCAGGGTTAACCAGAAAAGCGTGTGTTTATAGCACATTTCACTTCAGAACTCGCCATTAGACGTCATCCACAGTAACTTGCACACGTACTCTACAATCTTAAGGTCATGGTCTACCACACTCTACCAACCAAAGTATAAACATCAAAGGACTTTCAACCTGTTTAAAAACAGGCATGTTTTTAACTATCAAAACCCGTATCTCCAGATCCATAGTGTCTCCTGCCCCTCCTGCTCTGTCCTTGAGATTAAACTAGGGGGTTTGAAGGAGATGGAAGGAACTTGGCAACAATTCTAGCCGTCTGTCTGGCCTTCAGTGAGTCCTCTGCTCAGGAGACCTGCACCGCCGTGCTCTGTAAAAATGGAACAAGCACTCAAAGGTAGACCAGCAAGCTGTCTCAACTCTGCTAGCACATTTTTCTGACACAATAAGCATAACTTATTGAACAGATGTAAATCTTTGATGAACTTACAGCACTTTGAAGTCATTGCTTTGACACCAGAGTCTGTCTTACAGACAGAGAGCGACAGGAGATGAGACAGATGCTGTACTGACCACAGACAGGACCCGGGGGTCTGCTTCTCGACTAAACCTCTGATTCGTGTTAGCTGCCTTTGGGTTTGATTCTTGCTCTCAGACAGGAGACGCAGCCCAAAGAAACACGAAAACCACCACCATCGGATGCTTCTTAGGAAACACAAAATACTTGAAGGATGAGATCTGCTCTATTAAGTAAAACTTGACAAGGGAGGTCACAGAATCCTAGAGCCAGGAGGCGTATTTAAGGTCAACCAGTCACACCCCCTTCACCGCACAGCTGAGGACAGCTGCGCTGAGGCTGATGGGCGTCCCAGGGCCGGGCAGTAGCAGGTCTAGAACCCATGTCCTTGACTCCTGACTGCTCACCACTGAAGGGGGTAATCCTTAGTGCTTGGCTGCTGCCCTGAACACTAAATCTACTAGTGAGTGCGTCAGTCTGTGGAGCAGAAGGGGAATCTTAAAAAAAAAGAAAAATGCATTTGGAAAACTGCTACATATAATGTTCACAGGAGCAAGACGCCAAAATTTCACTTGTGTACACCTTGTATACAATACAGTAAACCTTGACAAAAATATCATATTTTGAAATTGTATTAACTCTTTCAGGGCATCAAGTTACCACTCAGTGGATTTTAATAGTAATAAGGCCACTGACAGTCTAGGGCCACCAGCCCCCAAATTTTAACAGCTCTTCAAATGTTTTGTAGTCAACAAATAAATCTGTTTTACAAAAATACCATAAATTCTCTTGTGATTCCTTAAAATTAAATGAGTTCAAAAGGGATCTTCAAAGATGCTGCTCTTGAATTAAAATAAAACAAAATCATGTTTAAAATCATTTAAATATTTCAGGAATGAATCTAAAAATTGTTCATATTAAAGAAATGCAAGCTGTTTTTCATTTAAAAGCCATCGCCACTGTCCCCAGGAGGAACCCTCTTGTATGAGAGCCTAATTTGCTAATCAGACTGACAATACCGTCTTCATTGTGAGTTACAGGTAATTAGATGTTACAACTGAACTATGAAGAGAGAACGGACCCCTCCAGAGGGCAGTCAAGTAGATCATTATTCTGAGGCCAAGCAGCCTAATTATTACCGCTGAGTTCAAATTAGAGGGATTGATCTGAACATTTAGTGGACTCTCTTTGGGATCAAAGCCCTTGAGATTAGTGAATTCATACCGGTCTTTTTAGTTCATTAAAATGGGCTTCAATAAAAGAAAAACACAGAGAATCAGAAAATGTGCACAGAGGGAAAGGATGACCCCACTGAGTTCCAGAGAGCTTCCTATAAACTAAAAAGTGTGGAGGCGTAAATCCAAAGTCAGGACAATCACTCCCGGGTGACCTGACAACTTTCTGCTTCTTGCTTTGGAACACGTGGGAGGTGAGTCCGTTCTAGAAAGAACCGCTTTCTCGTAGCAGCTACAGAGAATGAATCCTCCTCTCCCCCAAGACAGATGCCTTTAGTCCTTCAGGGTCGGGGAGGAAAGCAGTGTGTGCACGCAGACTGCTGAGATGGGGCGTTTGACAGAAGAACAGTGAGGTTCAAAGAAAAAGTAAAGAACACTATTTTGGTGGGTTTAACTAACGTTCGTGACCTATTTTCACTGTCAGGACACCGTTTCCATGAGAGAGGATGTTCTGTGGTCCAACTGACCAGTTTACAATGGGGAGGGGACGGGAGGTCAGCCCCCGCACAGCACGCCTGTTTCAGAGCAGAGAGGGACACAGTGCAGCCAGACCCTGTCGCAGGGCCATCTGCTCACACGTGCTCGCCGATTGCCAGCCAAAACCTTTTTTCTTTACATTTGCAGTAAATGGAAGGTGGTGAATTATCCAACGCTCACCAGGAAATAGAAGTGTCGACATTTTCATCTTTCAGGCATACCATCCCAAGGCATTTCTTCAGCTAGAAATGCTGTTTCTCTGTCCAAAGTACAAGTGACTTACCGGGGTCTCTGATTATCAACTTAATAAATGTTTGTTGAATGAACATCATCAGGTCTGGAGCTAAAAGCCTGACCCTCCACCACTAAGAGGACAGAGATCCCTCAATTCCCTGTACTTTGTAGGTGAGGACATTTAGGCTCAGAGAGTTTACAGAACCTCCTCACATCTTCCACTGTCACAGACTTTCCACCCAGACTCCAAATCCTATAAACTTTGCATTCTGTAGTCTGACCTCCGTATCTCTGTTCATTACAGGAAAAGCAAAACAAAGGGGGCCGTGTTTTTACCTGAAACATCCCTGTGAAAGATCCCACTGGCTTTCTATTATAGTGAAAATTAGAATGCTAAATATTTAATTGACCCATTTGTAAAACATGTTTATAGGGCAGTCAAGGAAAAAAAAAGGGAAACTGAGATTTTTAACACTTCACTAATAATAAGAATCAATAAGACTCTGGGGCAACCCTTAAGTGCAGAGAAACTCTAATGCAGAGGAATTCTGATGTCTGTTAGAGCAGAGAAAGGATCAAAAATCCTTCCAGGAATTCCTGTTGCTACAGATCATAAGAGGAAACTTAATAAAAGTATTGCCTTTGATTGCAAACATGCAGAGAAAGTTTGAAAGTGAAACCCACAGAACAGACAGCATACCAGGATTCTGTTTCAATGCATAATATCCTCGTTATAAATTCCAGAAAGCCCTCCTAGAGTTTCAGACGTGGGAGGGTGAAAACAGAGGATGTCAATTATATGAGTACTCATCCCACAGAAAGCAAGCCACCAAAACACACTTATTTGGCATAAAAAGAACCAAGAGATGGATGTGTTGTATCACAGCCAGTGGGAAATGTTTTGTCCTGTAACTAAGTTATCTGATTTGATTTTGTTCCCACTGTTTGTTTTTAATTAGGCAAAGGAACATTGCCAAATTTTTGTTTTCTCATCTTAAAGAGCTAAGTTCTTTTTAGCATCTCATCTGCCTTTCCCTTTCTATGTCTAGTCTGAACAGCAAAGTCGTCGCTTCTCCAAATCAGAAGCCAGGTGCTGACCGTGCCAGCCTGCTATTACCTTGTGTGGAGGGGAAAATCTGTTCAGTTCTGTTGATTTGCAGAGATGTTTTTCTTTCCTGTGGTTTTACAGGCATTATTTTCAACACAGAGAATACCAGGCAAAGCCCTGCTGGAACGGGCCCTCTTGCTGGAAAGAGCCCATATGCTGGAACATTCACCGACTTCCCCAGCAGGGACCCGGGACCCATGCCCACCTAGGCGAGCGCCGGCCCGGCTGCAGCCTGGCGACCACTGCCCGTGGCCAGCGTGCCGTGGAGCGCTGGCAGGCCAGCGTCCGGACGGAGGGCAGAGTTTGCGACTCCTAGGGCATCCTGGACCTCGTGAAGCGTAGCGCCCTCTAGGCATGAAACCGTTCCAGTCTCTCCCCTTGGGGTGAAGCCAGGAGAATACGGACTTCAGCCTGGATTCACCATCCACACACTCTCCACGCACAGCACCCCCGGGAGCAATCCCGCTGTGACTAACGTTCTGTGTTCTCTCTGTGCCTGCTCTGTTCCTTCCTAGAACACCTGAAGGATAAGTTGGAAGAATACATGGCCCGCTTTTCCAAAGTCAGGATTGTTCGCACCAAGAAAAGGGAAGGGCTCATCCGGACCCGACTCCTGGGGGCGTCCCTGGCCAGGGGAGAGGTCCTGACCTTCCTGGACTCCCACTGCGAGGTCAACGTCAACTGGCTGCCCCCGCTGCTCAGTGAGTGCCCCCAACAGCCCCACCGGGTTAGGGGGTCCTGGACTCGGACGAGGGGTGTGGTTCCTTCAATTTAGTCTGCAGTCGGCAAAGGCTACAGACCCCTTTTACGAGTTTTACACGTGGGAGCTTGAATGCTGTAGTGACCATCGCTGAGACAAACAGGTAACTAGGAAACCACATGGAAACCGACGTTTTATATGATACCAAGCACTCCAACTTGAGGTCTGAAAAGGGTTCTTCATCTCAGACACTCAGCTTCACTGCAGTCCTGTTCACTGAGTAACCCCGAAACAAAGGAGTGTTCAAAAGTGCTCCCTGCAAGTAATTAAAACACACACACACACACGCACACATTTAGTAATTATTATAGGGTCGTTAAGAGACGATGGCAGAAAGCTTTTCATCCCCAGAGTAAAGTGTAAGCACCCTGAAATTTTTGCAGGATTTATAAGGCCATTTCTTTCCACTTCCAGCACCAGCCTGTCTCCCTAAATATATGATGCCCCCTGTTCACAGAGTTCACAGAGGACCCCTCAAACACTCAGTGCTTCTGTCCAGGTGACACGTCCTAAATGATCACAAGAAGACTCCATCGCTTGAACTGTTAGACTCACAAAAGTCCTGAATTTCACTGAAGCTAGAACACGTGTGCATGTGGCTCAGTCCGAGAGACATTATTTTTTTTTCAGTTTCACAATGAAATCTGGTATATAGTCCAGCAGTGGCTAAGGAATAAATTGTAAGCCTGAGGGGGGAAAGATATGTGTTTCTAAAAAGTTCTTGGTGCACACATACTGTGTTCCTTTCTGTCCTTGCAGATTCACTCAATCCACTTTTATTGTAAATGTAATCCCTGGCTTTGGAGTGGTAGCCAGTAACAGCTACCTTCACAACAGCTGCATCAGAAAGAACCGTTTGCTATTGAATACTGTGTGGGATTTCAGGTAGAACCAGCAAAGCTCCATTAGTAAAAGATGCGGGGCATGGGGAGGGAGGCAGAATCAATTGGAACCGTGTTGGATTTGAAACAGGAAATGACCAGCAAGTAACGCCCCCCCCCACATCGGTCCGTCCACTCACGCCCCCCGCAGACGGCTGCCCAGCCACTCCCATCAGCAGGGATGTCTCACCACTCAGCTGTGGCCAGAGACTCCTCTGAGCTTTTAATTAAAAGCACCTTGTCCAAGGACGTAGCAATTCAGAGTTCCGTCAGCAGCACTGACCTTCCCTAAGCTGAATTTGACCTCCGTGGTGTTGAACTCTCAAGGAAGTCAGCACAGGGCCTAATTTATTTATGAACTGAAGCAACCCCGAAATGCCAATTAGCAGGGCTCTGATTGTTCTTAGGACTCCAACACGAACAAGAAAGACTGGGGGGAAGAAAGAAAACAGGAGAGAAATAAAGAGAAATCCACTCTTTCTCATGAAAGGATTTCATTTCCTGTAGGCCTCATGGATACGAAATGAGTCGAGCTCAGGACCGCTATCTCCTTTCATTTTCCTCTATCAGTGTCTCGACACATCATCCAAAATGAAAAAAAAACAAAAACAAAAACAGTTGGAGCCCCAGTTTCTTGGTTCATTTTTCACCTTGGGATTATACCTGAATTTCAATTTCCCATGAAGAGTCTGTTTGTTTGATCCCTGGAAATTGAAATGTAGGCACAAGCCTTAGATGAAAAATTAGTCATGCTGCTTCCACATGAAGTGAGAGCAGCCGGGCGGGAGCCGCGAGGAAATGTGAGGGGAGCTGACAGCTAATTTAACAGACTCATTCTCTTTGGGTCACCTTGGGACCCCCTGTTGGTCAAGGCACTTGTAAATTAACCTGATTCTGGATTTGATGGAGGAAAGTCACTGGAACCTTCATATTCAAATGCCGGCAGGGGCGATAGGAGGGACATTTTGGACACAGCGACGATGGTCAAAGAGCTCTGCGGGAAGTCGCCGCTTAGACAGAGATGAAAACCCAGGAAGGCCTGCCCGGGGGGAAAATGGATGCCCACAGACACCGCGGTGGAGAGTAACCGGACGGAATCCCAAGAGGCCGTACCTATCAGCTGAAACAAGATCAAGGTGACCCTCAGGCTCTCTGACGCCTCCTGGGACCTTGCTACCTAAAACCGCAACCCTTTGTCAATAAAAATATCAATAAATAAAAACAAAGACCAAAAACCAAAAAAATAAGTGTAATAAGCTAAAAAAGTTAAAAATAAAATTGCAACCCCTTCCACATGCCAGCCTCCCACAAGCCCTTACCCTGTTTCATTTACTTTCCACCGCGTGTTTCACCGCCCAGCGTACTACGTAATTTAGCGACTTAGTACATGTACTGACTGTCTTTGCTCTGTTGATGATGAAGGCAGGGATTTTTGTGGTTGTTATGCACAGCTGTACCCTCAGAACCTCGAAAAGTGATGGGCACGTAGTTTTTACTCAATAAATAGCTGTTGAATTAGGAATGAAAGAAGGGAGGGAGGGAAAAAGAGCGAGCGAGCGAGATAGAGAGAGAGAGAAAGCCACGTAGATCCAGGAGGGGGGATCTTCCACAGGACTTCACACACCCACACCCGTTCATCAGGCTAATGACGCTGAAATAGCCAAACCACGTAATTATTTCTAAACGATGTGTCTTTTCTGTTTTTAAAGATATTTAAATGTGTTTCATTCCACATGCCACATCCAAAGGTCATCCAAATAACCAGAAGTCCCTCCTTGAAAGTTCCGCCCATCCGACAGAACTAGGTTGCTGTGGTAGACCATGAACACGTGCACACCGCTGGGGGGGACGGCACTGCACGTGTAATGTTCTGGGTGAGCCAGAGTCTACGCACCTCCCAGGAATCACGTCTCCATGGACAAGGGTTGGGCGGCTGGAAACCAAGTCTCCTTCCTGCCTCAGAGAAGCACAGGGCCAGCTGCAAAGACCACAGGCTTCAGGACTGGACCAGGGAGTGGGGGTGCCTCCAAGCTCTGGCCCTCAAAGGATGAGTGACCCTGGACAAGTTATCTTACTTCTCTGAGCTCAGTTTCCTCATCTGTAAATTAGGAATGTTAATAACAGCCACCTTAGGGGGCTGTCCGGAGGACTGGAAACAGCATGAGCTCAGGAATTTGGCAGAAGCATTAAGGCGAGCAGCAGTGTCAGGTGGCCTACCGCCTCCTGGACACGAAGAGAAAAGACAAAATGCACGGCTTGGATAAACGGAGTCTATATTAAAGGACAGTAGCCAGAAAGGACTTGGCCAAATCTCTGGTAAGCCTGGGAGCCAAGAATCCTACCAGCATTTAGCAGGGAAACAGCCGTCAAGGCCGTTATCAGATTCGATGATTAAAAAAACTGCGACGTTAAATATTTACCTTCTGGAACCTCCAGAAAGCAGGCTTTCTCAGCAGGCTCCGGCTGCACGCTCGAGGGGGCACAGTGCTGTTTACCCTCCACGCATGCTGGATGCGCTATAAAATGACAGATTGGGGACAGGTCAGAGCAAAACTGTGACAGAGGCAGGGCTAAATGGACTTCCGCGAATCTCCCTGGGACACCACTTTCTAAAAGGAAAGGCCACAACACTAATTGCACCCAGTCACTGCCCCACCACGCGACGCCCAGCACTGGGACAGAGATTCCGCAAAGCGCTCGGAAGGCAGCAGGGGGCCAGGCGGCGAGCCCGGGGCGTGAGGAAGGATCCGCGGGCTTCTCTTCGAGGAACAGCGAGAGAGAACGGGGGCGCGCGTGTCATTTCCTGTTTTGTGCTTTCGTTTTCCAGACCAGATTGCACTGAACCACAAAACCATCGTGTGCCCCATGATCGATGTCATTGACCACAATCACTTCGGGTACGAGGCCCAAGCCGGGGATGCCATGCGGGGCGCCTTCGACTGGGAAATGTACTACAAGAGAATCCCCATCCCCCCCGAGCTGCAGCGGGCGGATCCCAGCGACCCTTTCGAGTGAGTAGCAGCCGAGGGCGGGGTCGAGGGCGGGGCGCAGGTAGCTGCATCCCGGCGTGCCACTGAGACCTGTGAGGACCACTGTCTCCAATGAGATGGGGGGGAAATGAGTGGCAAAAATATGCAAAACACTGGGGAAAGGTAAGATTTACAAGTTGCAGAAAATCACAAGCTGTGCCGAGTACCTGCTGGAACTTTCTAAGCCCCAGCGGAAGAGGACTGTATGGTGGTTGGGAAAAGGCAGGGTTCACAGCACATGCACGGAGAAGGGACACGTGGGCACCTTCCAGATGTTCCCTCAGAGGGTCTCTTCTCATTTCCAGTCCCCTCCATTCTTTCTCCTTTTCCCCAATTATTTAAATTAACGATTTTATTTTTCTTGTCCTGGGGAATGGTATAAAATGTGAACTTGCATTTATGCTTACGTTGCATACCCTTCTGGGAATTGCTTCTTTATGAGGGAAGGCGTGCTTCTGAGCAGGTGGTCCCAAAACTTAAACTTGGGAGATTTAATCAAAATGATACATCCAGAGTAGATAATCTTTCATAATCCTGCCACCAGTTTAAGTTCTGTATGGATACAGGTTTATAATAATCTACCAATTTCTACAAAGCTAAATCCCTTTTTTATCCCAATATGGCCATGAGAATTGCATTATGTCAAGAAAGAGAAAAAAAAATGGCTTAGTTTGTCCAACCATGAGGACCATTAATGGTTAATGGGAAAATTTTTCCAAAAAAAAAAAAAAAGAGAGAGAAAGGTTGCCCAAGGTATGTTATCTAGTCCTTGTACAGCACCCTCAAAATCTTTTATCATTTAAAAACTGTCATATTATTTTTAGTACAAGAAAAATATCTGTGGTTGAGGCTTTGCACCCTCTTGAAGAATCCATTTAAAACGTGTTAAAATCAACACTGTCTTTTCATCAATAATACGGGCTGTAAAAGTTTGCAGTAGAGAAGCTCCCAAGTACAAAACCACTTCTGTGATGCTCACACTTCAAATTTCAGCAAACATTTGATATAACATCAGGGAAATGTTTCCTCCGGTTCTAGTCCCTAGGAAGACAAACTCTGCGGAAAGCAAAGGGATTTCAGGTGACATTAGCCTCATGAAAACAAAGAGAAATTATTTCTCATGTAATATGAAGCACACTCATTAAATACCCAGAGTTTCCAAAAGAGGCTCCTTCAGACTCCCAAACTGCTGGAGAGTTTTTGAGAAGAAATAATGAAGGCCCTTCCAAATGCTTCAGCCAAGATTTCAGGAATACTGGAAACTACCAGAAAAGTGGGTCTCAGTGCGCCAAGTGAGCAAGTTTCTAGTAAGGGCCCCAGCTGAGGGATGATCTTCAGACATCCCTGAAGGGAACCACCTAAAAGTCTTGGGAAGAGGGCTTACAGCAGGATTGAAAGCCAGATTGGTGTTGAGGGAGGAGCCCAAACAACCCAAACATGGTAGACCTGTTGTTAGATGGCAGCTGATGGCAGAGAAACTACCATCCACTTGCTGCTATTCAAGGTTGCCATGTTTAAGGGCGAGGATGTGGCCAGGATGACTTTTCCAACATGCACTATAACCATGACCGCATTATTACAAACTTCTACTTTTGTCCACTGCGATAGCTGGGGGTGGGTGGGCTGCTTTCTGCAGAAGTGGGATCTAAATGCTACCGGAGGAATTTCACATGGTGAAAATTCTAAAACCAGCCTCAGTCCCTGTACTGACAGGCGACACTTCTGTTGGGCAGGCCCCAGCTGCAGCCATCACAGGACCTTGCTAGACCCCAGAGCTGGCGGACTTGCTAACTTTCAGGGTAAATGGCCTCTTATTCCCGTCGCCTGCTTAGAGGGGTGCTGTCCTGTCAAAAGCTGCCTTCTGTCGAATACCATCACCTTTCTACCTTAAGTCTCTCTGGTTCTTAGGAATGCGGACACTCGGCCTCTTGTAATAGATGTAGCTCCCAGGAGGTGTCTGCTTTGATCTTTAAAACTGCATTTTGCCTTCCCAATGATAAGAGAACGGTTAGTTACCCAAGCAGCTCTGAGCAGTGTATCCACGATTCCACTGTCTCAGCTGCCACCAGAACGCACTCGTGAACAGACGAGTTGCTCTAGGCTAAAACTTGCTTCTCTGGACGTAAAGCTCTAAGAGACACGGAACGAACGCCGTCTATCTGTACCTCTCTCAAGTCTTTCATCATCTCAGCTGGCTGCCGGGTTTTCCCAGGAAGAAAGGAACTATGCAGTAATGTGTAAATGTACTGACAACTCCAGGACCCTTCAGACAACATAGATGCAAAGATTATCTTTCAGGAGCAAGTCGGTCAAATGTCCTAAATTTGACAAGACCTGAATTCTCTCATTTATTCTACCATTATCTGAGTTTTCACCAACTGTTGACTGCGGTAGTGTTTCCTTTCCAACAAGAAAATCCTGTGAAACTGGTGGTGGGTGGGGCATGAGCAGTATTTAACTATTAAGGAACTGAATTGAAAATTTCAGAGTATTATACTAGTACGTAAGTAGAGGTATTGTTTCTCAAATATTTTGATTCAGTTATTGTGCGTAAGTGATCCTGGGTCATGGTATAAATGGTGTTTCAGAATACGGGTTACAGAGTCAAAAAAGTTCAAAATCTATCAACTTCCTAAACTGGAAATCAAGACGTTCAACAATCGAACTAGCAAGGAAAAGGAAATCTCACAGAAAACTCTGAACTCAAAGAAAAAAATTACCTGTATTTGCACAGGAATCTAGTTTTCAGACAAACTAGAATATGAGAGAAAATGCAACATTCACAGTTCAAATAATTCCACGGTGGTCACAATTCTGATTAGACTGGATGTATTTGATAAATATTCTTGTCTTTTGAAAAAAATGAAATATTCTCCTTTCCTGGCGGCTTATATGTCATGGTGTAATGCTTGTAGGGAATTCTTATTATTCATGGATTTCAGCAGGTTTCCTTACTCCTGGTTTATCTCTAATGCAGGGTGCTTAGGAATTTAAGCCTTTTCTGTAATGTAATACGCTCCTTTGGTCATGGTGACAAAGGGGAAGATATGTATTTGCTTTCTTCCTTTTTTTTTTTTCTGTTTCTAATGCAATCACCCTTCTTTTCTCCAGCTTTTTAAATTCTTTTTTTTTAATTGAACTATAGTTGATTTACAATGTTGTGCTATTTTCTGGTACACAGCATTGTGATTCAGTTATACATACATACATATATATATATTCTTCTTCATATTCTTTTACATTATGGTTTATTACAGGATATTGAATATGATTCCCTGTGCTATACAGTAGGACCCTGTTGTTTATCTATTCTATATATAGTATTTAGTATCTGCAGATCCTTAACTCCCAGTTTATCCCTTCCTACCCCTTTTCTGCCCTGGTAACCATAAGTTTGTTTTCTATGTGAGTCTGTTTCTGTTTTGTAAGTAAGTTCATGTCTTTTCTTATTTAGATTCCACATATGAGTGATATCATATGGTATTTTTCTTTCTCTTTCGAACTTACTTCACTTAGAATGACAATCTCCAGGTCCATCTATGTTGCTGCAAATGGCAAAATTTTTGTTTGTTTTTATGGCTGAGTAGTATTCCATTGCGTGTGTGTGTGTGTGTGTGTGTGTGTGTGTGTGTGTGTGTGTGTGTAATCACATCTTCATCCATTCATCTGCTAATGGACATTTAGGTTGCTTCCATATCTTGGCAATTGTGAATAACGCTGCTATGAACATTGAGGTGCATGTATCTTCCCAAATTAGTGTTTGTTTCTTTTTAATATATACCCAGGAGTGGAACTGCTGGGTCATTTGGCAATTGTTTTTTATTTTTTTGAGAAACCTCCACATTGTTTTCCACAGTGGCTGCGCCAATTTACACTCCCAACAAAAGTGTATGAGGGTTCCCTTTTCGCCACATCCTCATGTGTAGACCCTGGAGTTCCATTTGGGGAATGGGAGAATTTTGTTCATATTCTACTTCTCAAGCTAAGTCCATGTACCTCATGGATTTTGCTGTGATCTTCAAGCAAATGCTTCCAAACTCGGCCTCCTTTTCCCTCAAAAAATCAAACTGATGTGTACAAACTAGCATAGTATTAGCTGCCTCGACTTGGCTTCAGCCACCAAACACAATTCTCTATGAGTGAAGTTTTGAAACTCTTGTCTCAGACTCTGGAGGGAATGAGGTTAGAAAATCCATGCATTGGTTCAGTCTAGTGTTGGGTTCCAGGAGAGTGAAACAGGACCTTAGCTCCCTGAAACCACCACAGTTCTTGCATGACCTCCGGATTGTTCCTGAGGTCCTTCATGCAATCTAACCAAATAACCTATTTCATTAAGCCTGTGCAGTATGTAACGTAAAACCTACCATTTGTCTAGCATTTCGCAGTATGTAACATACTTCGCTACATTATCTGATTGGCTCCTTGTAAGAGTCCTCTGGCACAGGTAAAGGAGCGAGGGTTATTTTTCCCATTTTGCAAATAAAGTGAAAACTAAGAAAATTAACTAATAAGAGGCAAAACCAGGACACAAACCCATGTCTTCTCTCCATTTGTTCAGTTTCAAATCTTACATTTAATTGATAATGTCATAAGAGTCAAATCAGTGCCTTCTTTTACTCATTCAGACTTTAAATCCTAGAGTTTCAATCAATACTTTTCTTTTCCTCTCCCTTGAAGAGGCACCTGGGCACCCATTAAGTGAAGGAGTGTTGTCAACTAATGTTTCACGGTGAGCCCATAACGAGAGCAAGAGCGGAAACAGATTGCTCGTTCCCTACACTGTGTCTTATCTGCAGCCCAAACTTGAGCTGATAGGTTGAAAATGTCAGCTTTCAGTTTCTTCCTAATGAAGGGAAATGTCAACAATGACAGCTTCTGGTCTGTTTATAACCAGACCTAATTCAATATTTGACAACTGCTAAAGGACAAAATGTTTAAGGAGAAAATACTGTCAAATTTCTAAATGGTGTCCTACTCTACAG